CAGCTGGCCTCCTTTTTCAAGCTCCCCAGGTAGTCTGGGAGGGCTGGGAATATCCCCTCTGTGGGCCTCAGACAGGCTGGATACCACCTCCCCTGTCAATGTGGGCCTCAAATGGGCTGTGAGCTGTTTCTTGTCAGGCCGGTAGGCCTCACATGGACCACTTTGGATGGTGGGCAGGTGCCCCTTGGCTGGCTGAGCCCGGGTGGAGAGGAAGTCCATTGGTGGCCATAATGGACAGTCTACCCCCCAGAAACATTTATGGTTGAACTGTAAATAGCATATGTAGTAGTAATAAAAATATTATTGTTCAGCATAACTGAAAGCCGAGCTGAGTCTGCACAGTGGAATTCTATAGTCTGGCTGGCTGAAGAATGAGTTCACATCTAGGCTCATTACTTAGAAAAGAAACAGAAGTTCTTTATTGTGAGAGAACTCTATTCTAGACAGAAAGGCAGAGTAAAGGCTTCTAGGTATCTATCTAAGATAGGATGGAGAGAGATTGTAGAAAACATGTCCAGACCTCATGGTGGCCAGAGGAAAAGAGAGAAGGGAAGTGACTGGAAGAAAGGAACCTCTGAGAGTAGTGTTCTGGGTAACAAAGGGACAGCAGCAAGAGTGGACAACAGAAAGGTCAGAGAGTGCCTTTTCTACTGCAAGACTCTCTACTGCACTCCCCTGAGACCCCAAAGTCTGTGGTGCTAGTATTGAGTGACATTGCACAGTCCATTCCTTCCAACACTAACACTCTTCTTCCCCCTGCCTCCTCAAAACAATTGACTATGCCATTTAATCTGGGGGAAGTTAAGATCATTTTAGAAGGCAATAGTAGAGCACGTGTCTGCCTTTTCAACACTGTTTCTTTCAGATCTTGTTCTTTTTTCCAGGCTTTTAACCAGAAAAATAATACTAATGATTAAGAAAATTTGAATGTTGCTCCATAGGTTTAATCAACGTATTTCACCTACATTTCTGCTGCTATTCTCAAGGTCTCCTTTTTGGCACAGACGTCATGTGATACCCAAGGAGGGAGTTGGAGACTTTAGAGCTGTTTTTCCTAGACTAAACGTTTGAGGTTACAGGACATAGCCTTGTTTCACATAAGCTTCCAAATTTCAGTGGGACATGCTGAACCCTGAAATTGTCAAATAGTATATTATTTTTGGACAGAGCAGTGTAGTGCATGTGTGAGTGACCTTCACATTTTTAACCCATCCCAAAGGTCTGACTTCCTGCCCTCTCTCCCTTGAGTTTTTCAGAACTCTGGCAATTAATAGCAACATTTTGTGAAGGAACAGTTGAATGCATAGAAGAAGAAATTGGAGAGATGGGTGTTACATCTAATTAACAAAGAAGAGGAAAATGTTTTTGTGCCCTCTTCTGTTTCTTTATTTAT